AATGTACATTTGCTTTCCAGCCACCTCAGTGACAAACTCTAAATGGATATGAGCTGGGCTTCTAAAACTTAATATGAAAAGAATGACATATGCCTTATGTCTGAAGAAAGTTATTCTTCCAAATCCCCTTTTCTGCTGCGATAACTCTTGGGCCACACCTTTCGAATGACAGTCCCACTCTTCCTTCTCCCCTTGTGACTGGTTTACGAGAGTTTCCTAGCTTCCTTCCCTCACAGCCACAGCTCATTAGCATCAGCACCCATACTGGGCCTTCCTTCTGTATGAGTCAGGCCCTATGTAATTTTAACTTCACATATATTACTTAATTTAATTCTCCTAACAACCCTAACAAATAGGGTTCTATTCTTTCACCTCATTTTATAGATGAGAAAACTGAGGCTCACAAAAATGTAAGTAATTTGCTCAAGGTCATTTATCTAGTAAACAGCTGAGTTTACTACTCAGTATGGTCAGGTCATATGCATTCTGACCTGGGGATTTTGATTATGACAATCTAAAAATAATAATAACCACAACAACCTACAATAACAGTATTTTCAGTATTTTATTCAGTATTTTATTTAAACACTAGTTTAAATATAAACATAGATTTACCATTCACGGAAAACTTCCTTATGTGCTAGGAAACACTGTTATAAAGGCTTCAAATATGTTCACCAACTTAATCCTCACAATGACAGGGTAGATATTATTAACCTCATTCTATAAATGAAGCAACTGAAGCCCAAAGAGTTTAAGTAACTTGCCTAATGTAAAACAGGAGACGGAGCAGGCAGTGTTCACACCTAGTCAGACTCTATATATTTGTCAAAACTCACTTAAAAGGGTGAATTTTGCCACATGTAAACTACATCTTAATAACGTACACCCAACTATTTCCAGTGCCATGATTAAAATTTTCAGTGCGTAGGGCACATTCTCCAGGATCTTGGTTCCAGGTGAACATTTAATCACAAGCAGTCGACACAGCTGGTCTTCACATATGCTGTCATACTAATGCAGTCAAGTGCTCCAGAGTAAATCTAAACTATCCACCACACAGAGTATTTTTTCCCCTTTACAATCTTGGTAGCAAAACAGGAACTGGTAAAAGAGAAATAAATGCTATAATCTAAGGTCTCCCTATCTGCTCTCATTTTAGGAACATGCGTACTGTCTTTGTGTTCCTGCCGGGGTAAATCCTAGCTTGGGCAGTGATGCTACGGCACTGTAAATCACACAACAAAGGCACCCCTAACAGTACACAGCTTTCCAGAGTTTCTCTCTTAATAACCAAATTTCTAGGAATACAGCAAAATAGTGTTTTGCTTACCACACTCCTCCTTTCAAAAAGCTGTGATTTTAAAATGTAACAATTTAATTATCAGGATACAGATGCTCTGAATGGCTAAGTAGGTCATTGTGTTCACAGGGCAGATGTCAGAACTGCTTGCCAGATGACAAAAGACATAACCCTGGACTGTTTTTATTCCATTTGTATCAGACCTAACTCACACATTAGAACCTCGCTGTTTACAGCTTTTCTCTAAGGATCTATTAAGAGGCTCCAAGAAATTCCCTTGTGCCATTTACACCTTCAAAACTTAAAATAACCTGCGCATGTGGTAACATGAGCCTGACAGACCCTGTCCCTCTCCCAGCCACGCAGAGTGGCTGTAAAACAGAGTGTGTGTTTTAGTGGCATTTTGTGCCCACTTAGTAATGTGAACATATGCGTATAAAGACCCCGCAACTCTTCTCCTGCTTACGCACAAAAGAACAGGCTGTCATTTAACGTGCAGGGAGTCTAAGATTATTGTCCCTGTGCTATCCGAACAGATCCCACCAGCTCCATCCGATTATCTCGAATCCCACTGACCAAACACTCCTCTAATATTGGCTGTGCTCTCCCCCACAACTCCTGTATACCTGTATGTCCTTCCCCATTTACCACCATCTGTTGTCTCCAAGACCTCTCGTCACCTCTGCAGAACTCCCTATGATGTCCCCCAAACTCTCTAACCGTTTCCGGGCCCCACTACCTGTCCAGATCGCCGTCACTTCTGTAGACCCTCTCTGCAGGCTCATCAGCTCTGCAAACACGTCCATGCGCCTGAATTACCCTTGCAAACCTTTTCCGTGGCTCCTTATTACCAACACAGCCTCACCTGTCTGCCCTACTGCTCCTGCAGACCCCGGGTTACTCACGCCCTTATCACCCGCATTACTTCCGCAGATCCTTCCCACGGTCGCTGACCCTCTCCCAATAGGCGCAGAGCCACGCCAAGCCCCTGCCGCCGGCAAACGTCCGCTCGGCCGCCCGCTTCCGCACCGCCGGCCGGCCCCACCTCC